CAGCCAGAAAGGCCCCCCCACCCCCCGCGACCGCAACAGCGTCTCCTCTCCCCGCAGCCAAAGCCCAGGAGGTCCTCCAGGCCATCCGGGGCTACGTGCGCTTCTTCTTCGGCTGCCGAGATTGCGCCAGCCACTTTGAGCAGATGGCGGCGGCCTCCATGCACCGAGTGGAGAGTCTGAACAGCGCCGTGCTCTGGTTCTGGTCTAGCCACAACAAGGTCAACGCCCGCCTCGCCGGTAAGGAAGGGCCCTCTCCAAGCCTGGAGTCACCTACAGAGGGAGGTGGGGGAGTTTTAGGGGACTTGGACCAGAGGTGGGGACAGGACACTCATCCCCAAAGTAACACCCTGTGTTTCACAGTGCTTCACAGGGCACAGAGCCTTTCCACATGCTCCGCCTGCGCTGCTGATGGAGTCAGTGTCTTTAGACCCATTTTCCAGATGAGGAAGCTGAGGCTTTGACGCTCTAGGACTGTGGCCTTCCAGTGCCACTGCTCACTCTTTCTCCTGCACCAGGGCGCCTTCCTCAGAACTCTTGGGGTCCCTCTCCTGCCTTCCTTGTTCTGCTGTCTGGCTCTTGGCCCGTTTCTTACTCACACCGACAGGGAGAGGAGAGCTGGGCTTTTCCACCCAAGGGGAGGGGTCTAGCAATGAAATGTGCCTGAAGACAAAGACCAAGTCCTCCCTAGAAAAAAACAGGGACTGATTCCCATAGGGGGAGGCCTTGTCTTCTGAGTTTCCCGATTTACAGTGTTTTCTGTTCCTGGTGCAGAGGAGTCGGATGGGTCCAACAGGCAAAAGCATTAAACTAAGGGGTGACCAGAAACTGTCGCTGTGGGGAGGGGCCATCTGTGGTCGGAGCCTGGGCTTATCTGTGGGGAGAGGGGAGTGGCTGACAGACCTCCTGGGGGTGGGAGGTTTGGGGATGAGGCCTGGGGCTACCGAGGTTAAAGGAAAAGGAAGGGAATGGAGCAGGTGGTGGTGCAGGCTGCTGGTCCCCTGGGGCCTCCTGGCCGACTTTGAAAAGAAGACAGGAGCCCGTCTCTCTTCTCCCTGCTTCCCTCTCTGCTGCCTTCCCGCCCCCACATGCTCCATGTGACCCTCCAGCCCCATGACCTGGGCGGGCTCCCTGCTCCCCTTGGGGCCCAGCTGCCACTGGAGGGTGGATCTGGGGCTTCTCCTGGCGCGGCCCGGCCTCGGAGCGGGGGTGGGGGGGGGTAGTGGGGTCCTTTTGGATTAAACTAGTATTGGTAACAAGCTGGTACAAATCGAGTGCTCGCTTTACAAGGCTGGTCACCACTACTTCTCACTGGACCTTTGGAATCTGCTCGATGTCCCCTCCCCACAATAACTGTTCCAGCGGTTATATCACTTGCCGCTGCTTCGTTCTGGCCAGCACCTTTCGTTCCCCTATTAACCCCTTTAGGAGAGGTGCCTCCTCCAAGAGATCTGGGCTGGTGGGCACTCCCTGGGCGACCCTGGCCCTGTGGGGCTCAGCCTGGGGCTGTGCCCACCAAGCCAGCCATCAGAGTAACTCCCTGACCCTCCTGAGTGCCCTTTTCCCCATCCAGGCCCCCAGGCGCCCCCATACCCACCCCTTGGAGCCCACCAGAGAAGGAGATTCCACCAACTCCTGCCTACCCTGGAGGGCTGCCATGGCGTGAGGAACACCTGTGCGTTACCACATGCCCGAGCTCTTGTTTTAAAGAAACATTTTCCCTTGAACTACAGAAGTAATGTTTCTTCACTGTATAAAACTTGGGAAATTTCAGAAAAATGCAGAGAAGAAAATTACTAGCAGACCAACCAAAGACTGCAAGACAGATAATATTGAGTCCTCTGACCCTTTTCCATGCCTGGTTGAGGGGTACAACCCAGCAGTGAAGTTGATGAAGGGGCTGCAGGGAGCGGCCGCTAGGAGGCTGTGGTGGCTGAGGAGGGGATTGGAGTCCTCCTCGCCCAGGGCAGCACCGTGCTGGGCTCCATGCCCCCCTACCCCTGCCCCAGCCCCATGCTAGGTTTTTTCACCTGGCTTCTCATACCCATCATTCCCAAGGGCAGATGAGGAAGCTGGCATTCTGAATGAAGAATGAGGTCTGGGCTTCTAGGCAGGCCCAGGGGTCACAGCCAGCCTGTGTGTTTTCTTCGCCAGGTGCCCCCAGCGAGGACCCCCACTTTCCCAAGGTGCAGTGGCCGCCCCGCGAACTCTGTTCTGCCTGCCACAATGAGCTCCGGGGTTCGCCTGTGTGGGACCTGGACAACACCCTCAGATTCCTCAAGACCCACTTCTCGCCGAGCAATGTCGTCCTGGACCTTCCTTCAGCTGGGCCGGGCCCCCGGATGGTTGCCCAGAGGATGGCAGCCAGAAATTTTACTCTGGGCCCTGAGAAGGCTGGGGTCATGGTAGGCCCAGGAACCATGGTTCCCAAAGTTCCGGCAGAGACACTGAGGGTGAGTCACCCCCGGGATGTGCTCATTGGCCTCAGTATGACAGCTGAGCCAGACCAGGGACCTCCTGAGCACATAGCAGAGCTTCACAGGGATGCGTTGGAGCAGCCAAAAGGGCGGGAACACTTGACCAAACGAGACACAGGAACCGTGTTGCTGGCCGAGTTCCTCGCTGAGAAGAACCCCAGAGGCCCTGCAGAGCTGGGGCGAGTGGGTCGCAGCTCAAAGCAGCTGGCCAGCATTTCTGATGGGGAGCTGGAGGCTGGGCCCGTGCGGGGCCGGGACCAGTGGCTACAGGTGCTGGGAGGGGGCTTCTCCCACCTGGACATCAGCCTCTGTGTGGGGCTCTACTCCCTGTCTTTCATGGGCCTCCTGGCCGTGTACACCTACTTCCGGGCCAGGATGAGGGCACTGAAGGGCCACGCTGGCCACCCCACAGCCTGAACCGTTCACCTTGGGAGGGG